GCCCTGGGGGAGGTGAGCTGTGCCTCGGGCGGGTGCGCCTTGCCTCGCCTCCCCGGGTGAGCCACCGCGCCCCGCCTCGTCTGGGCCGTATTCGGTCCACAGCTTTAATTAGCCAGGGGCCAGAGCAGCTTTCACGTGGCCATCTGCAGCCCTGGTGATGGGCGGCGTTGCTAATCGCGGGGGATAAGCCGCTTACAGCGACCCAGCTGGGGCGCGCTCTCGGCTGAGGGGACAAAGCGGCAGGTTTGTCCCGGTGAAGGAGGGGGAGGCGTAATGAGGCGCGAGTCCTGTCCCTGAGGCTCTGGCGAGGCCCAGCGCCATGTCCGACAGCGGGTATCGGAGTGAGTAAGTGCCAACGCTGAGCAGGCCTGACATGGCTCCCGTGGGTGGGGGCGATGGCCCTCCCGCTCCCTCCGCTGCATCCCAGGGTGCCGGCTGGGTCTTGGCTGGCAGCCTGCGAAGGGCCCTGCTGCGCGGCTGTTCCTTGGCTGCCGCGGCAATGGCTGCCCCCTCTCTGTAAGGGAAGAGTTCTTGGTTGTGCCGGTTTAAGCAGCAACAAGTGGCTTGTGCAATGGCGGCGATGGTTCGGTCTGTAAGACCGAGCAGTGGGGGAAAAGCCGTGTTTCTAAGGCAGGTGAAGCGGGATCTTGGACCAGTCACCGGTCCCAACTTGCAATGTGAAATGGATCAGCCTTGGTCTGCAGGGATGGGAAAATTAGCATTGTCTGTGCGGTGCTTATGTGTTTATTATGGGTCTGTCATTGCTATCGTAATGCTAAAACGGCATTCACTTGAAAGAGCTTGATTTACTTTTCATGAACTGTGCTATTCCTTTTGCTTATAAGAACAGAAGTACATTGATCAGCTTGATTTTTGTTTGCTTAATTGGATTTGTTTCCGGTTTTAATGCCTTAGTGGGTTGCAGTAAAATGTATATAGTAAGCATGTGTTAAATGTTTTAGTTGGAAACATCAAAGCTAATACGAAATCCATTGGTCATGGATTTTGCAGTTTGCAAAATCTGTGGCTTGCCTTGAGTATCTCTTTTGGCCTTAGAAGAAGTTTTAAACAAGGACTTCGTAAAATCTTGTTGCCTTTTGAGTAAGATTAACCACTGCTTGAAAGCGGTTAAATTAAAGTCCTGCCTGGCAATTTTGGGAAGGCAGACACGTGTGATTCTTAAAGGACACTATCTCCTTCGCATCTCAGTGAGGCTGAAATTAGGAATGAGTGAGGTGAAGAACACCAGCTAAAATAATCATGGCAATGTCTTGAGAACCTGGTACCCGGCAGAAAGAATTGAAAAGGAGAACTAAAAAAATTGCATGAGTTATCAAGAAAATAGATTATGTTTAGGTTCTTGAGCGTAAAAGTAGTCCAGTACTGGGTTCCAGGTGATCATGGAGCAAAACAGCAGTGATAAACACGATGATTTCATGTCCTTTCACAAATCAAATATTTTATAACACCCTTTTGTGTTAAATTACTAGTTGGCTGGGTATTGCTGGGATGCAAGTATTGCTTCTACAGAACACCAGTCGGCTGCATTTTGTGGTTATACTTCAGGCAGTGATAGGTGCCCTAAAGAAGGCAGCCATGCTTTGTCTGCTCACTCTGTAGCTTCCAACTTATACTTGTCTGGAAAAAATAATGGCATCTTTCTGCTTCTGGTACGCTTGGTGATGTATGAAAGGCAGTAATGGCAGTTCCCAAGGGTTATTGCAACATTGCATGACTGTCTCCTGTTGCTTTTAGTAATTGAGTTTACTCTCTAGTTTGTGGTGATTACTGAAGGATTTTGCATGTGAGAAGGACAAGTGGCTGTTTGCAAACAGGGATGACTGAGGCTCAGATGCATTCTTAGAAGAGAGTGAAATAAACATAGTTTGGAAACAGTGCAATTTGACAGAAGGCTTTCTGGTGTTTGAATATGTTTGAAAAATACAATGAGCATTTTTCATAGGCCGTGCTGTCTCTTTCTTTTCAGGTTGACTAGGGTTTTTTTTAAGATGATATAGGTGTGTGTGTCTTTTCACAATACTATTTTCATTTTTCAAAAGGGAGGTGAAAAAAAGTGGCAGTTAGAATGGCAGTGATTGACAACTTGCTTTTAAAATTTGAGGGAATGAAAGCACAGTCCCGTCAAATTGCACTTACCTGTTACCAACAATTTATGAATCTGTGCTTTGCATGAGAGTTATGTGTATAACCTTCTGACTTTGTGGCTAGACTGCAAATTAGGTCTCCCGTCTATGCTGTAACTCTTCCAGGTTAGGGAACAATGTGGATTCTCTGGATGTGTAAACATGGTCTCATCCTTTAATGTGGACAAGAAGAAATAGGCCTGCATGACCTTGAACCTTTGCAGGGTGGTAGCATGATATGAAGA